CGTTTTGTAAATATGTATGGTTCAAGTTTCATTTGCTGACACATCTCTAATTTCGGGTTTGGTTCAGGTCAACCTGATACCCAAAATCAATTCGAAACTGACTCGGGTCACACCCCTGCCCACAGTGATCTCGGACTCCCATGCTCGCTCCCACAACGTCCGCACTCATGCCCACAACGCTCCCCAATCACGAATGCGCCTTCGCTTCCCCACGTCCGCAGTGCTTTGACGATCACGGCTACGCTTCCGCCTTCCCAGTGTCCACTACCGCGCCTACGGCCCTACGCCCACACCCGTGCTCGCCTGCACGCTCTCCCGCTTGTGCCTGCAGGCTCTAACCCCCTTCGCCCGCACATGCTAGTGACTGCACCCATGCATGCCTCACTGCCTTGCAGGTTAGCGTGTTGGGTTGGGTTTACCCGGATTAGACCTGAGTCGGGTTCGTGTTAGGAATCTGACCTGTTTAATAAATTGGGTCGGGTTTAGGGTCAGGGATCTTGAAGGTAGGACAATTTTAGGTTGGTCTTGAATCCGACTTGAAAATCTATTTTGACACCCCTACTTAAGAGGATTTAGCTTAAACTACTTAGTCTAGTCGGCTTGGTATATGCTAATGATGGTAACTAAATGAACCCTTCAGGAAATATCATGCATCTACTTTTGCTTATTAATTTATCATATCCTGGAAACAAAGAAAAAATGATAGATAATTCATGCACTTTGAAAGATATTCCTATATTTTGTTCTCAAATTAAAAGATCTAGCCTCTGTTTCACCCTCTACAGTTTACCTCATTAGTAAAATTTTCCTTCTCTTATCCATATTAGACTACAGTCAAAATTTTCATGATGTTAAGCTCCTGAGATCTTTTCTATTAGCAATCTAGATCGATATAATATTTTTGATACGTCACAAAAAAATTCACTTGTTGAGATAATATTTAAATTAAAAATCTTCAAAATTAAATTCATATTATCCTAATAAACTTATAGTCAAATTGAATATCTTGACTTATTGAACTCATCGATATCATAAATGATCTGATTCTACCCAAAATGAACCCAAATCAAATATTTGAAGCATAATATTTGAAAACTTATGAGCATTCATTTAAGGACCCAAATTCTCAAAATCTTGTGTGCTTATAGTCATATCGAGCGGCTTAATGTGATAAATTTAATGAGTTATAGATCATTTGATTTTGATAAAATGAAGCACTAAAATGTTAAATGAATAATCTATTATCAAAATAGTTTTTATGAACTATTCAATAGTATTTTAGATTCTGGCCAAATTTATGAAAATGCTCATCTCAGAAATGTTATAAATAGGACTTCCTTTTCTACATAGGAGGCTCAAGAGTAGAGAGAGAGAGAGAGAGAGAGAGAGAGCTTTAATACAATTTTTGGAGATCATAGCCAATGATCACCATTAACAATTGCACCAACTATCACCAAACTTCCTTCTTTCAACTATAGTTGCTTGGCTATTAATATATTGTTAGCTTTGACTGTCTGCTTGTGGACATTTGATTTCTATAATCTCTATAACGATAATTAGAAAGTTATTTGTAGTTGCGCATAATATCTTCTTCAATTGTGAGTAAAGAAGGATTATTATATCGTCAATTATTTAATCAGTTCATTCAAGTGAGTCACACCCCATAATTTTTTCCTTATGAAATTTTTCATAGAAAAAAGCGAGTCTCTTACAAGTATTGGTTGAAATTTTTTGCTCCTCTCATTGTAAAGTTTTAGGTCATCATACTAGTCTTGATCGTTTTATTGTAATGTTATTGTTGTAGATAGTTTTATTTTGGGAGGGATATATAGCTCTTGTTGCTCAAGCTATTGGTTGCATGGTTGTTCATGCAGCAGTGATGATGTGCCTGCTAAGGATTCTAATAATAATTCTCTTTTGCTTAGTCGAGGTGGTGATCTTGAGTTGTCTGACTTGATGCTTGATAGCCCTCCTGATGGCTCTACAATTGTAGATTGTCTTGTTGAGAGTAAAGAGGCTAATGGTGGGCGACCCTCTTTAAGGTGTAGATCAACATGTCAATTATACTAAAGTTTTGTTTGGGATAGTTTTCGTAGTGTTTTGTTTTTCAGATTAGAATCATAATTTTTATTTGGTTGTTATTTTTTCACTATTTTCAATAATTTTTGTATAACGAGGCTGCTTTCTCTATAACGCTTTTAAAAAAAAAGTTACTTTCTTCACAACGATTTTATAGCCACCTTTATAAAAAGTTGAATCCGTCCCAAATGTCTCGAGCAACAATGATTAATAATTTTCAGTTAAGATTGGAAATTTGAATATCCCAACGGATGTAAAAAATAGGGTGTCAATTTCTAACACGATTTGAAACAAGACCAGGACCTGACCCGAAAAATTCTGGATTCGAGTCAACCCGTTCACCATATGAGTCGGGTTAAAATGTGAGTTTTCAACCAATTTGCAAATCGGGTCAGGTTCGGGTTGATTTCGAGCCAGAAACCCGAAATCAACCTAGTTTGACCCGGGAAATCCGAATATGCAGACTGTTTCTCGCGTCTGTCGTGTTTGCTCACTAGCCCGTCGCGTCTGTCACTTTGTACGTCATGTCACTACGTTAGTCTCGATATTCTCGAAAGTCGACCCAGTGACGTTAGTCTATCACGAGATCGTCGATCCGTTCGCCGTCCGGTTACGAGATAGTGTCCAGTCCATCGGCCATCACTACCGCCGGCCGCCCTGCCCGCCGTGCCTCATGGCTCATCTGGCCACTCTTGCGCGACCCATTAGGCAGCAGGTAGATGTCAACCCACACTCGCAGGCCCGTCAGCATTGTCGACTACCATGCTGCTTAGCCTGATGTCGCACTCACCTACTTTCTGAATCAAACAGGTCCCCAAATCGTGTTGGGTCAACTCGAATTGGACCCGAACCGGACCCGTCAACCCATTTTAACACCCCTCTTAAAATAACTTAATAATTATTTTGAACATAATCCTGAATGTTTTCACCATCCTATTTCTTATGCAAACTTTTCTTGTAGATAGTGATTGCACATTCTTACCCACAATAATTTTTGTTATTAAGAAGAAACAAGAGCTATGACATTAGATAGATTTGAGATCTGATAAAAGAGCTGATCGCTCTTCAGGATGATACTGAATTTTGGAGTGCTCCTTAGGATGATTGGTGACATAGGGCATACAAGGAAGCTGAGATGGATAGGTCACTGGATCTTTAATATGCTATGAGTAGCCCTTTCTTAGAGTCTAGTGTATTGTTTTTCTATATTGATGTTTTAGTTCAAGCTTGGCTTACTGTATTGGAGCCCATTCCTTCATCAATAAAAAAGCTACAGCCAAAAGAAAAAGGAAGAAAGAGGATGCCATTCTAGGTGCAAGCTATGTTGATAATGTGGAATCAAGCACCTCTTGTCAAATCAAATTGGACAGGAGAATATTTTTTAAAAGCTTTGGTCAAACGGAAACTAAGGCTTCATTTGAGACATCTTTCTTTATGCTTCTTAAAGCAGCTTTTTAGTACAAAAATTTTAAATTTTTGTACTAAGAAGCTGCATTAAGAAGCAATAAGAAAGCCATCCCAAACGAAACCTAAATTTCCTTTTAGGGCAGAAGCAATTCTTTCAGTAGCGTTCTAAGCACCTTCAATTCTTCCTCAATGTTCCCTATTTCATAACAAATATGCTTCCCTGTTCAGCTTATTACTTCTATAAAAAAAAAGTATAAATCAAAGAGAACATGGGTTGTAATCCTAGATGGCTAGATCCTTCCTATGCTCATAATACACATTAACTAAAGTGGATTGGTGAATACTCTTATCATTGAAGATCTTGGTCAAAAGCTAATAAAAATCCTCAATCTGTACTTGAAATATCTTAAGGATCAGAAGCACATGACTTCAAAGACATGTATATAGTTTTTATACCATTTTTATGACATAGATACAAACAATAGGGAGCCAACCATTTTTATTTTCTATAAACTCTAAATACAGAGCGAAGAGGAGTTGCAAGATCTCTATGAAATATCATATAAAGTTTAATTTGCTCTTATGGAGGAATATTTAAATTCAAAGGCTTTGGATTCTTGAAGGAATGAGTACATAGAAATGAATTTGAACCCGCTTAATACCTGTGTATTGAAGAACTTGTCTCCCTTCTCCTTGTCCACTTCCTTAATGGTAATTATCGTATGACATTTGCTTAAATAGTATGTATTACATGCTTTTACTATTGTATCTTTTAAGAGAATATTATTATTTTCATAAATATTTTAATAATTCAAAAAAATATATAAATGATTTGAAGATAAATGCACTTACAAATCCAATATTACATAAAAAATAGAAAACTTTACATACACAAACATGATTAAATAACCAATAATCAAAGTGGTGCTGATCAAGACATAGGCTTCCTAAATTCACACACATTTATTGGACAAAATTAGTCATTGCAGCAATGCTAAAGAGCCACGAATATGACAACCACTACAACATTTCATAGTTTTTATTTGTATACAAGAGAAGATGAAAAGAAAAGAAAATAAAGAAAAGGAAAGAAAAGTCCATTGTGGATTAATTAAGAATCTATAGCCAAATTAGTCATTGATTTGAAGTTTTGATCACTTTTTTTATTTCCATTCACTCGAATTCCCAGCCTTGATAGTTACAAACAAATCACAACAGTTAGAAACAAATCACAACAGTTAGTGACAACATAATACAGATAATTACAGCAAATCACAATAATTAGTGACCACATAATATTAAACAATCGATAATAGTACATCCATATCATGCTCCAGCAGACAAAGTTACAAGAAAAAAGGTTTCATAGACTAACTTGAACTTCATAATTGAGGAATAAAGATAGCTGAGTGTTGGATAAAAAGGAAAAAAAATTACAGAAGAGATGCTTCCTCCCAAGCCAAGTGGGCCAGAAGGGATCAAAACATGGACAGCTCAAGCTAAACAGAAAAAAACAATTTCCATCGTTCCATAACTCACCCTTCAAGGTTTCTTTCCTCACAGCAGTTTCTGAAGGATATGCACACGTTCTTCACTCTCTGTGCTCCTATGCTGTAACAAAACAAAGTATCAAAAGCTCGGAGATTCAGGTCAACAAACGCCTCTACAGAGGGAGCTTCTGCTTTTTGATTTGAGCAATATAATTTGAAGGAGCTCAAAGGTGAAGAAAATTTTGAAACCTTGCGCTGCTCCCCTTCAACTGGTGAACATGGGCGTCAACCCTGTTAAAGTCCACTACCTGCTGGCTCCTTTTTACAGGCACCGATGGAAAAACAGAAGTCAGCAATGAAAAGAAACCCAAGATTCAGTAGAAGAGAAAAAGAGAAAAAACAATAGAGAATTAAGAGAAACGATCCACTCACAAAACGTTGCAGAGATCATTGAGAACCCTCTCCGAGTCCTCGAAGAAGAGGGTCACAACCTCGACTACGAAATCGGGGTTGCTCTCGTCCTGCAGCTGCTGAAGCTGCGTAAATTGCGCGTCCAGAAAACCCTTCAAAATGAAGAACATATCATAAAATCAGTATAGAAATAGAAAGAGATGAACTCAGAGAGAGAGAGAGAGAGAGAGAGAGAGAGAGAGAGAGAGAGAGAGAGAGAGAGAGAGAGAGAGACCTCGCGAAAGAGGGCGGAGATGAGATCGATCCACTGGCGCTGAAGCTGACGAACGTCCATCCCCCCCTCTCTGCTCTTCCTCTCCTTCTCGCTCACCGAGCTGCCGTGATTTGGAGGAGATGAAAACGGATGGATGATTTGAGGAGATTTGTCTTGTTCTATTTCGCCCTCGATGGGTCGATATCGTGTAAGAGACCAAAAGACAAACGGTACTAATAGGTTCCCGCTGTCCATTTTATAAATATTTGAAATGAGCTATTAGTCCACTAAGTCATTGTCTTACCAATTAATAATTACAGTTTAAGGACAAGTTTAATTGTCATTTTATATAAATTAAATGATGATAACTGAGTTTAGAGAAATAATTTCTTTTAAAGCTTAAGTTATCAGATTAGTTTTTCTATTACTTTTGAGTATGGGTGCAACTGAATCAAACTTGTAAGTGAATCAAATTGACTCGTGAATTGGCTCGAGTCTTGGCTTAATAAATGGCTCATGAGGTTAGTTCAATGAGTTGACAAGCTAAGTTTGAGCGAGTGTAGAATCAACTCGTTAGCTCCCGAGCCGACTTATTTAAAAAATATTAACATATAATATACTTAAAATGTATTAAAATTCAAGAGTTTATGTTTAGAACGATTAAAAATGTTTAATAATTATATCTCATTATATGACATGATTATTTATTATTTTATTCTATTTTTTATTATTAGATAATATTAATTCTTTGAAACATAATTATCTCTTATCTTTCATCATAATAAATGAGTGGCGAGTGAGATGACTCGAAATCATAGAATTAAATTTGAGCCCAAGCTCAAGGGCTCAAATTTATTTAATTAATTAAGATCAAGTTCATATTTAATTTGAGATTGCTTTTTTATTATCCTCAAGAAATTTTTATACTAGAAAATTGTTATAGAAAATAGTAAAAAAACTATACCAACCGAAGCCTTAAATTAAAAGTGGCTCAAACTTTAATAAATCTTCAAAAAATTATATTCATCAGGTACGAATCTCGAGATAATATTTAATTGAAAGCTTACAAAGTTAAATATGTGATCATCCAAACTCTGATTTCAACAAACATATAATGAAATTGAACGTCTTAAAAATACAACACAACAACACCAAAATCAGTCAAATCCAAGTTCAAATTATCTCAAATCAAGGGTCCAAAGCATATTTGGAGAGCTCAAAACATAATTTGGATTACCAAACGACTTCCACTTTTTTGTCGCCCATCGTTGAATTTCTGCTCATTCGTTGACCATCACCAGGCTTCTTCCCGATTCTCCAATCTATTGTAATTCCATCGTTTCCGAGTAAATGGGCAAATTAAGCTTAATAATTCATTCAAACTTATTTCTCATATGGGTCAGGACCCATGGTATTTCCCCTTTTCGGACTTTCCACGTAAAAAAAATCTTCTACTATTTTTTTCTCTCTCTCTCTCAACTATATGTTGGTGTTTCAGATATATGTACATTGCTAAGACGCTTTAGTCTCTTACTCTACTGCCACGTATATAACTGCCCGCAACAAACTTAAACTAGATTAGTTCACATTTCTAATTTCAAATAAATATTTAGAATTTATTTGAGACAGCTAAACTTTTTTATAAAATTAGTTATTAAGTTATCGTAAATTTTAGCAACTTTAATTGTAAAAGTTAATTATTCATCACAAATTTTTTTAAAAAAATAATGAGAAAATAATAAAAATAATAATAACAAAAAAAATTATAATTATTATCTAAGTAATAAAATAATTAGAAAGCTATTCCAATCAGATCCTTTGACTGAAATATTAAAAAATATAAATGTAATAATAAAAAAATATTAGCAATAACTTCACATTATCAGTGCATGTACCTGCTGCAAATTCATCGTATGTGGCTGAACCCAAGCGATACTTTTTCTACGAATATTACAATGGCTACAAATATTATAGCGAAGACTTGTCGCTGACATATTACTTAATGATAATTGCACGCACAAATAACTAAGCCAAAGCTCACTGTATGCACATGCGCGCAAAGTACAATACTTCTCACTTTCTTCTCTGTTACATCGATCTGTACATCTGATTCGTAGTCGATCTCATTCTGAAAGCCCACGGGATGGCCACGCGCCTATTTATGATCAATAACGGCACAATATAGTCTCATCTGATTCGTAGTCGATCTCATTCTGAAAGCCCACGGGATGGCCACGCGCCTATTTATGATCGATAACAGCACAATATAGTCTCATCTGATTCGTAGCTCTCTTGCATTTTTTAAATATCGCCGAATTAAATGTCTGCCTGTGGGAATTTTTATTACGTCCGTTGAAAGTACGTAGAGCTATGTTCGGCCGGCATTAAGATCGCGGGCACAAAATGAAAATTACCGAGCAATATCAATAATAACGAGAAATACCATTATGTGAAGACAAAATACCGAGTAATCCCAAAAAATACCGATTTTTTTTGCTCAGTATTACTCGGTATTGATCTTCACAGAGCGGTATTCCTTGTTATTACCAAACAATACCTAGCAATACCGACCAAATACCAAGCAAAAACCGAGTAACAATCCTCTAACCGAACGTAGAGCTACGTCCGGTCAGAGGACGTAATAAAAGTTCCTGCCTGTGGTCATCTACTTTTTATATTCATATTTTGAAAATTATGTCATTTTGTTGGGTATTAATTGTTTATGAATGAACATTGTTGTTAAGCCCCATAAGACAATTTAGATATCTTTTTTATCAAATAGTATTCTTCTTCAACTACAAGAAAAGAATGATTATTACATCTTTTAATATACAATGGTTCTTTTATTTTGGTCAGGTTCAATGATTTTTTCCCTTTTAGAATTTTTTACATAAAAATTTTTATCTTGCTATTTTTATTTATGCTTACTAAATATTGTATAATCTTGAGACGTAAAATACATATTCTAACAACTCAAAAATTTTAACATGCTTTAGTTTGGCTACATCTATGAGAAATGATTGGCTAAGGGCAAAATTAACTTTGCTACAACCTTGAGGGGTCATTCACATTAATGTCTTGGGTATTATTGTAGACTTGTAGTTAGGTAGTCCCTTTACCAGTAACCATTATAAGGTCTGAAAGAAGTCTTTTAATATTGAGGGTAGCCCACTATAATAGCAAAGAAGCATTATTATTTCTCCTTTCAATCATCATACATTGCTGCATCAATTTTGTGGAAAGAAGATTTGGGTTGGAGGGGGGACCTTGGATGCAACCTTAAAATCATATTTATGTTGAAATATTAAGCATGGTTGTGGTCGAGTAAGTCCCTCCAATAATTTGTGCTTCCATGATAGCCTTTATAGTAACCACCTTTCATAAAGCTTCCAATAAATACGAGAAAACTTTAAGTGAATTTCAAATTCTACACAATCCTCTGCTAGAATTATACTCCTTCGACAAGGTCATAGTCTCAACCTCAAAAAAATAGTAAAGGTCTAAAGATAAAACCAATATTCACCGTCAAATTGGGATCCACATAGCATTCACCCCCTCCCAATTAAGGCATAATCGATCATAGGGGATTCGATTCGACCTCTTCCACACATGTTAACATCATCAAGAAATTCTCTGAAAAATAATCTCATATAAGATAAATATCCTTGGTGGATTTCTTTCGATCTCTTTCATATAGATTAACATTTTTTAGTAATACTCTAATGAATAACCTAGAATAGGCCAAACAACCTTAGTGGATTTCTTCTGACCTCTTCTACAAAATTTAATTTCATCGAGCAATGCTTTAACAAACAACCTCAAATATGATAAACATTCGTGGTGAATTTATCCCAACCATATTTATTTGAGTTAATGTAATCGATCAATGGTATGAAGATTTACTCTACAAAATAACACCCATGATGCAACCGGAAAGGGAAGCTAATAGTGGATATGATCCTCACTTGTAAGACTCTATAAGGAAAAGTGGTAGAGATAATCTCTATTTAAAACCCCATTAAGGTACGCCCATGAGGTGACGTCGATGAGAAGCTAGTAGTAGATAGGATCATCGCTAGCTAGAAAGACTCCATAACAGAAAACGGTTGATAAAATCTCCACTTATATAAAAATCTCCACTTATATAAAAATATCGTAAAGTAAAAGCCTTAGAAGGTAAAAGAAAATCTAAAAACATTTAAAGGCAAAGGCCTCAAAAGTAAAATGTAAAATCTCATAGGGAAAAAAATGCCTCAGAAGGTATGTATGCACATAAAAATGTCTTCACCTCATAAGACACATGATTATCTAAAAATCCTCAAAAGGTATAAATCTTAGAAGGTGCATGTACACCAAAACTTTCACGGCAAAATTTTATATCAACTATTTAGGAAAGAAAGCATGAAGCCATCTCTTAGAGACAACTTCTTTCTCAAAATAAGATGCTATGACTAGGTTCTTAATATGTATTTTATGAAAGTTCCTAAAGAATTCAACTCTTTTATAAGCCTTAAAAGTAAAGTGAGAGTCATGATAACTATCAATTTTAAACTCTACTATAACATTCATACATGTAGTGTGTACAAGCTTGATAGTGTGCCTTTAAAAGAAAATTGGGGATGGTGATATCATTATATCTATCAGAGACAAAAACTAAGTTTTCCATTTTGCCTATTTACTCCCTTAGCCTAATTATAAAATATAGCAATGAGTTATTATGTTTTGAGTAAATAATATAATTATATAAGCCTTGGGATAAATGTAAGTATTGGTATATTGTGCCATTGCCAAAAGCAAGTATCACCATTGTATTTATTCAAGACTCCTCAATCCATACTTAATGTTTGGAATTATGCACTTTCAAATTCTTGTATATATGCACCAAAGATAAATATATATATTTAAAACATCCACACTGTCTTACTAGAGAACAATAACTCCTTGAAAATTTTCTTGTAAAATAAGTAGATATGATGGTAGCTTCTAAATGGATGAGAGTCTCTCACATATGTGATATCTAGCTCAAGACATCGCAAGCTTTCTCATAGTCTCTCTTTATGACTGATATGTTCATCTTTGACTTCATGTTTGCACTTCCAGCAATGAGCTTATCTTTGATCATATGTCTAATGACCCACAATTAGGCTTATTTGCAATCTTTATATCTTATATCTAATGTACAAGTGCATTTTGATCTAAGGCTTATTACCTCAAATA